CTCCAGTCTGGGTGACAGAGTGAGACTCCAACTCAAAAAAAAAAAAAAAATGTAATTTCAGCTCAAGTTTAATATGATATGTAATTGACTACAAGAAAATGCTGGTAGAGTTAAAGTTTCAATTTGTGTCTTTCATGGGTGAAATAACCAGAAATCTCTGTGGTTAATGTGTTTCCATGTTTCATTTTCTGAAGTTTGGAAGAGGAGTCATGTCAGAAGAAACAGCGAGTGAGTCCCAGCTTTCCTTGAAGGCAGCGGTCCTGAGAGTGTTTGATCTTCCTGTGTCTTGGTACTGTTCTCTTTCCCAGGTAACAAAAGAAACAAATGCAAAGTTGAATGAGAAGTTTATTGCTCAGAGCATACTTTGTAACGGTATTTCAGTTTTGTTTTTTTTTTTTTGAGTTGGAGTCTCACTCTGTCGCCTAGGCTGGAGTGCAGTGGCACGCTTATGACCACCGCAGCCTCGACCTGCTGGGCTCAGGCGATCCTTCTGCTTCAGCTAAGTAGTTGGAACTACAGGCATGTGCCACCTTGCCTGGCTGAGTTTTCTTGAATTATTGTAGAGTTGAGGTCTCTTCAAGTTGCCCAGGCTGGGCTCAGTCAATCTTCTCATCTCGGCCTCCCAAAGTGCTGGGATTACAGGCGTGAGGCACCATGCCTGGCCAACCAGGACTCTTTTCATCTTGCAAAACTCAAACTCTGCAACTACTTGAGTGTGTTTTTCTAAAAAGAATATGTGTGTTAAACCTGGCACAGTGGCTCACATCTGTAATCCCAGCACTTTGGGAGGCGGAGGCAAGACGATTGCATGAGCCCATGGGTTTAAGACCAGCCTGGGCAACATGATGAGACCTTGTCTCTACAAGAAATAAAACATTAGCTGGGTGTGGTAGTGCACACCCGTGGTTCTAGCTGTTTGAAAGGCTGAGGAGGAAGGATCACCTGAGCCCAGCAGGTCAGGGCTTCGGTGGCCGTGAGTGTGCACTGCACCGCAGCCTGGGTGACAGAGTGAGACTCCGACTCAAAAAAAAAAAAGAAAAAAAAGAAAAAAAGATTTGTCTCTTAAATCATGTAGAAAACACATTATGGAGTTATAAGTCACTGTCATAATGATACTGGCTTTTATAAGTGCCCATGTATTTATTGTTCTTTTTTTTCCTTTTTTTTGGTTTTGTTTTTTTAGAGACAAGGTCTCGCCATGTTCTTAGGCTGGTCTTGAACTCCTGAGCTCAGGCAGTCCTCTCGCCTCTGCCTCCCAAAGTGGTGGGATTACAGGTGTGAGCCACTGTGCCTACATATATCATTCTTGAGATCTTTATTTCTTCATGTTGCTTCAAGTTACTATCTAGTCTTCTTTTATTTTAACCTGCAGGACTCCCTTGAGCATTTCTTTCAGGAAAGGTCTACTGATAATGAATTTCATTAATTTTTGTTTATCTAGGATTGTCTTAATTTCCTCTGCTTTTGAAGGATAGTTTTGTAGGTTATAGGATTCATGGTTGACAGTTTCTTTTTTTCTTTCAGCACTTTGAATATATTGGCCTGCTGCCTACTGGTCTTCAAAGTTTCTGATGAGAAATCTGACAATTTTATTGATAGCTCCTTGTATGTGGCAAGGGACTTCTTTTGCTGCTTTCATTTTTTTTTTTCTTTCTTTTTTTTTTTAGAGAAGAGTTCTTGCCAAGTTGCCCAGGCTGGTCTCAAACCCATGAACTCAGGCAATTGTCTCACCTCGGCCTCCCAAATTGCTATGATTATAGGCATGAGCCACTGCGCCCAGCCCATCTCTTACTGCTTTCAAGATTCTTTGCCTTTGTTTTTGAAAGTTTGATTGTATGTCTCCTTGTGGTTCTCTTTGAGTTCATGATTTTTGTAATCTGAGCTTCACGCATTAAAAAAAAATCTTTTATACAGGTGGGAGTGTTACTATGTGTCTAGGCTAGTCTTGAACTCCGGGCTCCATGCAGTTCTCCTGCCTCGGCCTCCCAAAATGCTGAGATAACAGGCATGAGCCACCATTCCTCGCAATCCTCGTGGTTATATTCGTGTCCTTCATCAAACTTAGGAGGTTTTGAGCCATCGTTTCTTAAAATAGTCTTTCTGCCTCTTTCTCATCCTTCTTAAAATTTCACCTGTAGGTTAACTTGATGGTATCTCAAAGCTTCTTTAGACTTTCTTCACTTTTTTTTTTTTTTTTGAGTTGGAGTCTCACTCTGTCTCCCAGACTGGAGTGCAGTGGCCGCTCCTGGCAACCACAGCCTCGACCTGCTGGGCTCCGGCCATCCTTCCGCCTCAGCCTTCCCAGTAGCCGGAATTACAGGCATGCGCTACCACGCCTGGCTGATTTTTTGATTTATTGTAGAGAGGAGGTCTCGCCAAGTTGCCCAGGCAGGTCTCAAACTCGCGGACTCAGGCAATCCACTCACCTCAGCCTCCCAAGGGCGTGGGATTACAGGCTGAGCCACCAAGCCCGGCGACTTTCTTCACTTTTATTCTGTCCTCAGACCCAGTGCCTTTCATTGTTCTTTTTTTTTTTGAGTTGGAGTCTCACTTGGTCGCACAGACTGGAGTGCAGTGGCCGCTCCCGGCCACCGCAGCCTCGACCCGCTGGGCTCTGGCGATCCTTCCACCTCAGCCTTCCCAGTAGCCGGAATTATAGGCATGCGCTACCACGCCCGGCTGATTTTTTTGATTTATTGTAGAGATGAGGTCTCACTGCCCAGGCGGGTCTCGAACCCGCGGACTCAGGCAATCCACTCACCTCAGCCTCCCAAAGGTGTGGGATTACAGGCTGAGCCACCGAGCCCGGCTGACTTTCATTGTTCTTTCTTCAAGTATACTGATTCTGTCTTCAGCCTGATCAAATCTGTCTTTAAATCCCTCTAGTGAATTTTCTTATTTTTTCTTAATTTTTAATTTTAAAGATGTGGGGTACAATTCAGGGTTAAGTGTACAGATGTTCATTATGCAGGTTCCCTTGTTGATGAGGTTCCTTCTCTCCCCCAGCAGAATCCCACTACTGCCAGTCCTGCCTCTCCCTGGCAATTTCCCACTACTGACAATCCTTTTCTTATAGTATTATGATAACTATTCAAGGTCCGCTTGTGAGTGAGAACATGTGATACTCAGTTCTTTGTTTCGGTGATAGACCACTCAGTATTATAACCTCTAAGTCCATCCAAGTTGCTGCTAAGTTCATGATTTTGTCCTTCTTTATGGCTACGTAATACTCCATCGTGTATATGGACCCCATTTTTTCCATCCAGTTCTCTTTTGATGGCAGCATCGTTGGTTCCATGTTCTTGTTATTGTGAACAATGCTGCCTCTAGTGAATTTTCCATTTCAGTTATTGTACTTTTTAGTCACAGCATGCCTTTTTGGCCTTCTTTTAGGTTTTCTCTTTTTCTTGTTATTCCCTTTTGTTCTCCTGTCGTTTTCTTGAAGTTTATGTTTGGTAAAGGGAAATAAGGTTTTTGGAGCAGGAGACGTGTGTGTGACTAAATGACTGTTCTGTGTCTCCAGAGACCATTACTCGTGGGGAGGGACTTTCCAAGAACTTTAATGGCATCAGATGTGGAGTGGGGAGGGTTGCCAAATGAGAGCACAAAGAGCTGTGTCTTGTTCCTGTCTTTGTATTCTGAGTGCCAGGCCCTGAAGTTGATGTTCAATTGATGTTGAATGAATGGAACGTGTGTCTAATTTTCTTTATGTCTGTACCTTAGCAAATAGACTGTATCATCTTTTAAAAGCCCCTTTTTATCTTATTTATTTATTTATTTATTTATTTATTTTTGAGTTGGAGTCTCACTCTGTCTCCCAGACTGGAGTGCAGTGGCCGCTCCCAGCCACCACAGCCTCGACCCGCTGGGCTCCGGCGATCCTTCCGCCTCAGCCTTCCAAGTAGCCGGAATTACAGGCATGCGCTACCACGCCCGGCTGATTTTTTGATTTATTGTAGAGATGAGGTCTTGCTGCCCAGGCGGGTCTCGAACCCGCGGGCTCAGGCAATCCACTCACCTCAGCCTCCCAAAGGCGCGGGATTACAGGCTGAGCCACCGAGCCCGGCCCCTTTTTATTTTTATTTATTTATTTGAGTTGGGATCTCAGCCTGCCTCCCAGAATGGAGGGCAGTGGCAGGAAGGACTGCTCACAGCCTTGACCTTCAGGGCTCAGGTGATCCATTCCCTGCAGCCTCTCAAGTAGCTGGAACTACAGGCGTGCACCACCACACCTGACCCCTTTAAGACAAATTTTTTTTTGTAAAGATCAGGTCTTGCTATGTTGCCTGGGCTAGTCTTGAACTCCTAGGCTCAAGCAATCCTCCCACCTTGGCCCCACAAAATGTTGGGATTACAGATGTGAGATACCGTACCCAGCCTAATATATTTAATTTTTTTTTTGAGTTGGAGTCTCACTCCATCATCCAGGCTGGAGTGCAGTGGCACACTCATTGCCACCCCAGCGTTGACCTGCTGGGCTCTGGCGAGCCTTCCACCTCAGCCTTCCGAGTAACCGGAACTACAGGCACACGCTACCATGCTTTGCTAATTTTTAAATTTTATTGTAGAGACGAAGTCTTGCCAAGTTGCCCGGGATGGTCTCGAACCCGCGGGCTCAGGCAATCCACTCGCCTCAGCCTCCCAAAGTGCTGGGATTATAGACTGAGCCACCAAACCCGGCCATATATTTAAATTTGATTCAAAAAGAATATTTTGTTTTTGATGATAAGGTCATGCCAGTTTATAAAATATAATGAAAAGTAAATTATTCTTAACTCATTCACAACCACTGATGTGAATTTAGGTCATTCCAAATTCTATTCCTGGTTGCTGCGTATGTAAATTTACCTCAACATAAAAGACTGATTTTTTGGGTTTATAATCTGAATAAAAATACAAAATATGGAGTGCTAGTTAGAGTGGTGGCTGAGGCAAATACTGGATATGTCTGCAACTTTCAAGTGTATTGTGGAAAAGGTGACAATTTAGAAAAGATCATTTCACTTGTGCTTAATGACAGAAGTTTGCAGCACCCAGCTTCAGATTTTTTTATTTCCACCCATTCTCAGTATTAGGAAGGTGAAAAATTTGCCAGTCATGAATGTATTAATAGTAATACTGTTTTTAATTTAATTTTTTTTTTTTTGAGTTGGAGTCTCACTCTTGTCGCCCAGCCTGGAGTGCAGTGGCATGCTCATGGCCACCACAGCCTCCACCTGCTGGCTTAGGCGATTCTTCTGCCTCAGTCTTCCCAAGTAGCTGGAACTACAGGTGTGCACTCCCACGTCCTGCTAGTCTTTGTGATTTA